TTTTTTTTTAATAATCAGAAAATAGTATTATTCAGAATCCAGAAATAATGAGATGGGGCTTGCCCATAGCAGTATCATGGAGGACCTGTTGCTTTGGTAGAATAAAAGATTAATCAACTCCTTCACTGCTAGACCATCATCAAAAAAGTATTTGAATAAGGTATTCTGCATAACTCTATTATGATCTTGCAACAACTTCTAAAAAACCCCGACAATTTTACTGCTGTAACTGTATTTAAAGACAATGATTATTTCATTGAATTTCACTGCTTATTTACGAGACATGTAGCAATTTTCCTTGTACTAAAATGGCTTTTACTGCACCTGTCATTTTTTCTTTCAATGCTCTCTATGCCTTGTAGAATAATTACATAAAACACTTAAGAATGCAGTTTGTAATTTAGAGTGTCATATCTGAACCTGGGGTATTCTGATATATGTGACAGGCTTTCATGTTGTTTTCACTCTTATGAACAGATACAGTATATGCATATTTTCACAACATTGTATTCAATATTATTAAGAGGGAGGAAGGTCAAAAAACCCCTGATAAAGCTTTCAATCAAACATAAGGCAAATGTATAAAAGACAAAATTGTATGCTTGGTTGAATAATTCCTTGGTTCAGTCATATTATTGTGGGACAATACTATGTGGGCAAAGGCCATTAGAATTACTTGTTAAGTATTTGTCTCTTCTTAAAAAGAGATTTATGCCTATAAAAACTACTAAACAAAAGTATTAAAAAATATAAATCTTTTGGAAGATAAATCATATAAGACCCCATATATTTCCACAATATACGAACAGTTTTGGTTTGATTTTGATATAATGATGACTTTAAGATTCTAAAATAAAATATTTAAAAAAACAGGAAAGAGTACATATACATTTTGCTGTTGCTCATCATACAATAAAGATCAATTTAAATCAGATCAATTAAAGTATTTTAGTCCATCTTGCTGTTCCTCCTGGGAAAAAAATAGTTGGAAAATAATTATTCTAATTGAACTTACAAATTTGAAAGACACATTTCTAAATAATAATTGTTAATTCCCACTTGACAGTGTATACTGTATATATATGTTTTTGTAGAGGTCAAAGAGAACTCTTGGTAGTTTAGTAAATTTGCACATTAGTGTACATGAACATTTGGGATTTTATTACATTAGAAAATACCTCACTGTCTCACAAACATTCTTTGAATTGAAATTACTAGTGTTAAAAAATAGCTATTGGAAACTATAATCTCTAAAATGTACATAATTGCAAATATATTCTTACATTTGTTTTTATGAATATCCCAGCAAAAAATCAAGTTCAACATCAAATAAAATATATATAAATATTACGACCAACCAGAAGTACCAGTCTTACCAATATATTTATAAGTATACAAGTCAGGTTAGCTTTCCCTCACTTTCCTAGCCAGCTCCATTTTGTTTGTTATTTTCTTTTCTTTGGCACCACTCTAGTTCCTTACCCTTGTTATCACGCTTCCTAGTCCCTCGCCAAAACCCACCTGCTTCCAAAAGAATTTTCCATAATGTTGCAACCTCAAGTGTCTAGGGGTAAAGGGGTGTAATAAGGCCTCTTCCTTCAGAAAACCTCCATGTTATATGCTGAATAAGATGTGTTCTGGTTGGCTGAGAGCTAATTGATAATGACAACATAATGAAACAGTGGTGTGATGGTGGGCCAATGGGGGAGGGAGAACAATCAAGGGTCAGCAGTGTGGAACATAAAAAAACACACACAGACCACACACTGGGACGTAACATCTAGTCATACAATCATTAAAGTAATTATACAGTAGACTTCATAATAAATAATGTTAACACAGATGAGATGTATTTTGTTACAAAAGGAATCTTGCTTTTGGATTAAAGAGCGGTGTTAAACAGTTTAATTATCAGTTCTGGTAAGGATGTCTCAGAAGAGAATATTCTGAATGGTTCTGACACTGGTGAATGGTATCAAGTTCCAATACAGTGCTGAAGTTTTCAATCCAGAAGCAAAACCATAAAAAAAATATTACTCTACAATGCAAAATCATCCTTTTAATTTAAGTGACTGTATCATGAAGCGACTTCAAACATTGAGTAAATTTGCCATATGCTTTTGCCTACAAGTGCGCTGTTGGGATGGTAATGCAATATGCTTTTAAAAAGAAAATTGTTTTTCAAGCTATGTCACCTGGTTTCAAGTTGATCAACAAAAGACAACAGAAAATCTACAGTATAGAGGACTTGACAAGCATATGATAACATAAATAACAAATATGTTTTGTGTCCTTTGGATTCTACATTTTTTTATTTCTGATTCAAAGCAAGAACACAAGGAATATAATACATATTTGTATTATAAAATAGAGGTAAAAAAAGACAATATAAATAAGTTATTTGATCAAACTACGGGGTTAATAATTCCTGCCCATGGGGTTGTGCTCTACAGATTTAGATCTAGGCTACCAAATATACAAACCTCTGTTGTAAATGCAAGATATTTATTTTTGTGGGGTTAAGTCAGTAAAAGGTCTGCTCTAGATATTGTTTAGGTAGCAGCAGCACTGGGTGTAAAGAAAACATCTTACTATAAAAACATTGCAGCTAAAATCTTAGCCTCTTATCAAATCTACACAAGGTGTAAGAAAGTATACATTTCAGAGTTAAAATGTATTTATTGTTTTAACTAGTGTGCATAATGAGCAAAGCTACCTTCAGAGAGTGTGTCTTATATAACAAGACAGTTGTTACAGAAAGTCCACAAGGAATTGTTACAAAGTAAGAATGATAGAATCACAGTTTCAAATTGGTTAATTAATTGGATAAAACATCAGATTTGCTTACAAAACTAGGCTACAGAACATTTAAGCAAAAATTGGGAATGTAGATCTAACAACAATAACCTTGATCTTATGCCTATTTTGTTTCCTTTTGGTGCTTTGATTGATACACCGTGATTTATGTTTTATTTTAAAAAGAATACCATTATGTTTTCATAATTTGCTGGTATTTAGATGGGTAGATGTGATGTGTAATGAACTGTTTAGATCTGCTCTATATAGCCCAAGGTGATTTCCAGTGATAGACTGAGCTCTTCATAATCAAAGGGAAATGTGATACCCATTACAGCATGACAACCAGCACAAGAAATTTGACTGAATTGTAATTGCTTCTTCATCGTTCAAACATACAGTGACCTCTCTAAGAAGCCTATATTTGCCATAAATATGCTTCCATACATAAAAAAACATAACTAGTATATGAAAGTATAATGTAGGTAAATACTTTGTGAAGAATAACACTGGGATTAGCTGTTATACAATCTGTCATTTGCTTTACAGTTCTGAGAGTGTCTATCTACGTTCCAGGGACAATATTCTCTCTGTAATTTAATCAACACATCCATTAAAAGGCATTTGGCTTGATGGTAGAAAAGCATCACCACGTGTCTTAATTATTCAAACAACTTGTAATTAGCTATTTAGATTGTCAATAAATACTATTCCAAAATGAAATATTATCCCTCTGGCAGAATCAACAATCAACAAATACCCTCTTGTTGAAACAGTCCTGTCTCACCAATTACAATCTGTGTCACTTTACCTTCCCCGAGAATAAATTTGAGCATTACATGTTATGAGGTCAGGGAGAAAGAGAATAAAACAGAAGAACATTTGAACCGGACAGGGTCAATGATTCTCCCGGGAATATCAACCTGAGTATTGGTAGATAATTCTCAAGAACATACTCTTAACCAGTTTGTATCCTTTTTGTTATTTCTTTTATAGACAGGGCATTCATTTACTGTGGGGCAGTGCAATATACTGTATGGCATGAAATTGGTCGTTAAGTAGCACTTATATCAAGAAAGCAGTGATTACACTGAATAAACAGGAAATTGTAAAGTATTTATTCTACACAGATGCCATAAATATATGAGGACACAAAAAGTTTCATAACAGATGTTTTGAGAACATCTGTATAATCACTGATGGTGACAAGGATGTCTTCTTTCATATTACCTTCACATGAGTATGAGTATGTAAGAGTATGTTGAATAAAAAAAATGTGACACAGCAAAGACTACTCTGTCTTTGGATTATGGTTTTTCCACAGCTAATAAGCTTATTTGCCTTTACCTTTGCCTTTTAAATTTACTGATACCCTGATAAATCAGGTATATTATAATATTCAAAAGTTTAGATTCTCACAAGATACTGTGATTTAAATATACAGTATGCTGCCATATCAATGTTGGAAAGGAACACATTTATTGTTTAGTTAAAATTGCATCTTACAAACCATTTTTCATGTCAATTAATTACGAAAACAATTATGACTAGTGCAGTGCTTTCTTAAATTCAGTTTGCATATTTTAAGCTTTTACTTCTCTGAATATCATACTGCTTTATAATAGGAGAGTCCTGAAACATGTTTTAAAATACAATTTAAGTCTCAAGTCTTTTTTTTTTGCAATTTATTATTACTATTTAAAGAGAAACTCCAAATTTTATTACACAATTTTAGTATATGGCTGCATCAGATTTTTATCACATTTCCATTCCACTCAATATGAAGGCTGTGCCTTTAAATATGGTGCATGTTAATAATACAATTCCGAAAAAGAAGATATTTCACCTTAAAATCAATGTCACTGATTTCCGGATTGACCAGGCCGGTGATCATTTTATGTCACTATCCCTAGCAGTCGGTACAATTGTAAGGGTATCAAGTGTAGCACAGTATATCATGGGTTTCAGTTGATGGATTATGTATTAAACTTACCGGCTGATCAGCACGATTTATCCCAATGAGGAAGAGTAACTCTGCAACAAAGAGGCTGATGCAAAGGTTCTTGTGGATGGTGTTCCGGTCACTCTGAAGCCCCCGGAAGAAGCAGAAAGTAAAGATGCAAATCAGCAGGCAGACCAGAGAGAGAAGGATTCCCACCCAGGTGATAACATCCAGGAGCATGTCATGTACAGGATCAGTATTCTGTGAAGCACAAGAAGGAAGCACATCAATAATGGTCATTTGGCCGCTGAATCCACATTGAAATCACCAGTTCAATTAACTCTAAGGTGAGGTACTGTACAGTAAAAGAGAGCACATGAACATGTTCCATTCAAACACTGTCCTCCAAAAGCATAGAGACAGTGCAGTCAAAACCAGGATATTCAATTTGAGTTCCAATAATCAATTCTCATATGAAAAAAAACATGACTAACATGACTGATAAGTACAACTGCTAAGTATTTTATTTTTTAATAAGGTCCACCTTCTTTGGTCAATTAAAAATGGTTGAGCAGGTGTTTGTCTTCTGGGAAACTAAGAACTCATAAAATAGCAAATATCATATCACTCTATCTTGTTATGACTTAAATGCTTGGAGTCTGTAAGTAAAAATAAAAACTAAATAACTTTCTCTTATAGAAAGACAGGGAAGTTGAAAGCTGAAAGAAAGGACAAAACTCAATCAGAGCCATAGCACAGAAAAAGAGCATGAACAAAATCAACAATTTGACAGATGTACATAGATGAGTGTTTGGAGTATCATTTTACAGACAGATGAGAGTAAAATCAACTTTTAACAAAGTGATATATGTTGATTAGGGTTTAATTAGAACTCGACTGAGGAAGTGACAGCTGAAATAAAGGAACACAACCATATATGCTTTATTAACTTTAGAAAAAAGGAAACAACTACTGTACCTGATTTGTAGTCCAAAAGTACAAAAAATAAACAATCCTCTACAGCCCCTTTAAGATCTAATTTATATTTTCCACAAGGGGGCGCTAGAGCATAATATAGTATTTCCTTAAACTTGTGCTGATGAGGGTGCAAGAGCTGTCACATGTGTACATTCCCTTAGCGTTGCATCCACCCAATCATCTGCTTCATCCACTTTTTGTCAATGTTGAGCCACTTTCCTTCAGTTTGCGCCAATCCACATGTTCGAATATGGTGGGCTTCTGCCTCTTTCTCCATTTAAGTCTACAATATGTAACTTAATTAATTCTCAAGAGCTTTCCACAAAGGCCTTACATAAAATACCCAACAGCGTACAGTATATTACTTGCATAACAACTTACATAACATTTTGCATAGACCACACATTCTAACATCAAAAAAAGTACAATACTACTTCATAGAGCTACAGCATGTACCAATGCAAATGGTTTCCAGAAATACACAATGAAATAATTTCTATACCTTACATACGCTACAGCAGTATAATTACTGCAGCTTAATACATCAAAAGAACAATTAAGCAACACTTGAGCTATTGTCTATGAATTACCTCCAACTATGATCAACAATTATTCTTAAATACAATAGTACAAGCATATAAAAATAAAAATTGCATTGCTTAATACATATACTGTATGGACACCAACAGAGTCAATGTCTGCCGTTTGTGTATAGTCTACTAATGATGTACTGTACATATTGGGCATGCAGCTAAAATAGAGTAACTTAGTGAATCAACCAATACGGATGGTCAACTGGAGCACAATATGAGTCTAGACATCACCTAACTAACTATAGTCCATATATTGCTGACCTGAGTCTGAAATGTACAATTATTGAATTGTGACTGGAATTCCCTGTATGAAATTGTGATGTGTATGTTTTGCTAAAAAATCCCATAGTGGAATCTACATATTGGTGCATACAGTTTATTATGCATACAGATATGTTTATTATTTATTCTTAACAAAGAGAAAATAGATAGTATTAAAATAAACTTAACAAAAATGTTTAGCTTTTTTAATTTACTTCCTAAGTATTTATGTGATCTACTTTTCATTGTGCGTGTGTGGTTCTTTTATGTAAAAGCTTAATATTTCATGATACTCAGTAGAAGTACAATGTTAATGGAAAGGCTCTGTCAGCTTCATTACTGTTATGTTTGGCAGAGGACTGCACTTTGCATGCCTTCTATCCTATGTTCCACATTTTATTTAAATTCTCAAATAGGGACTTTATATCTAGGAAGTAAAAAGGAGTCCATGGTCAGGTCAGGCGATTTAGAAACCAGCAGGAACTTGAATTCCTGAAAACTTGAAGTTGAATAATAAGTTGTATCCTCTCTAATCATTTTCTTATTGTCATTGTTTCAGTAATGAATTACATCACTTTTTAACTTTCAAAACATTTTTCAAAACATCACTTTTTAAATGGAATATAATTCATTTTCTATTGCTAGTAGTTTTAATTGCACCTCAATGTTTATTCTCTGCTAATGAATTTATTAGACTTACTGTATATTAAGGCCAAGGCCCGAGGGATTTTCAGTCTTTGGTTTCTGAGAAATTGTATGGTTATGGATCTATGATGGCATGAGGAGGCTTCTTTTTCTGAGATAAAGGCACTATCTCTACTGGCAGGAGCTTTGGCATCTGTCTCCCTTCCAGAATATGCCCTCCTGTCATCTTTTGATACCTTCCACAGGAAGATTTATAAATAGGCAGCACGCCTGTGAAGGCTCTTTGTAATACGTCTTACAGGGTGAACAGTAGTCCTCTAAGAACATTACAATAAAGTGAGCTCATCTTTAGTCATTTAAAAGCCCTAGTACAAATATATCCAAATGTTCTGCATATGAAACTATTTAACTCCATTAATATGTTCCCTGTATATCTAATGTGTTACATTATACCCGTAATATCTTTCCGAAATAAATTATGCTTCCCCGAGCTTTTTCCTCAGCACTTTTTGCAGCTCCTCTGGCCTTCTTTAATGTGGAATGAATACAAACACAAACACAATATGTAAAAGCAAAGTTAGGCAAACTGAATGAAAACTAAATGAAAAAAGCATAACAGATGGCATGGATTCATTTTGTTCTCACCTCTTAGTTCTGTGACATGAACCACCTCCATTTCTGCTACGCTCCTACTATGAATTTATGAACGCAACTGTTTCAATACTCCTTGTTTTTACTATGCGTTGGAACACACAGTGACATTAGCACCCTTTCAAGAATACTGTATGCATGTTACACCTCTCCTTGGGAGGTATATGTATATCATATGTAAATGTGGTAATTGCTCTGCATGTTGTAAGCTGCATTAAGCTTAACATTAATGGTGTTGTTAATGAATACTGGAGGTGAACACAACATGAGGTAAGGGCATTTGCTAATTACTTTACCAACATTAAGTAAATTATGCCCCTTGAGTTCTAAACACTAGTATTTTTTTCCCTGGAACTATGGCGTTGACCATCTACTCACCAAATACAACAGTACCAATACTCTCCATGGCATTGGATTCAGTCTTGAGTTATTTTTATTAATAATTTCCAATACTGTTTACATTGTTAAAATGTCTTTAAAGTACACCTAGTGAATATATATATTTTTTTACAGACTGATGTATAAAATCTGTGGCATATTATTGGAAACACAGGTTTTATATTTTTGGCCCCTCTTTCCAAAATGGAGTAAGAAATTGGTATATTATCATGGAAAAATGCTACTGAGACTTTTAATGTCCTACATCAAAAGGAATTATTGAAGAAGGTGTAGTCACCCGTTCGTGACGTGGTGGGCAGGTGGCAACATCTTGCATTTTGTCTGTCCAGAACAACATTATTCAAACGAAAATACAGTAATTAAACAAAATTATTCTTGTTTGACTACAACATAGAGCAATATTGTCAACAGAGTTAAAGCACATCTGCTTGTGAGTGACAAATTAACAGTGATAATTAAAATGGCCTTCTTTTGTGTTTTTATCTACCAAGGCACTGCACACTCGGTCTACTGTACAATGAATCTACAGTCATCAGTGTTATCTTGCAAGTGTGAAAAAGGCTTTCCATCTAGATTGAGAGGCATCTATGATATGGATCACTATAGTATATTTGTTGCTTTGTCACAATACATTGCACACATTTGTTGGTTCAATCCATCACCATCTTACTTCTAGCCAGAGCTGTTTTTCCTTTCTTGCAATGGATTTTCCGCAGTGCAGTTACAATGTTCAGGGATAAGCTGATTGCAAAGGCACCACCAACCATGACCCTTGTGAAGTCACTGAAATACTTGCTCCAATGAATTACACTGCTGACTAAAGAGCTTTATGTCTTAGCTTAAGTTCTCCTTTTTTGACCAGTCAATGTGCATTGAAAGCAGCAATACTGTGTCCCAAAGCTCCATTTCTAATTTTGTACAAAATTTACTTTCTGTATCTTAAGGGCACAAGACACCCACAGACATTATTCAGAAGCGTACTTCTCCTCTTTCAAATTTGGCAAAGATTTTTTTTTACACTTTTCTTCCTGGACCAATTCCTTCAGTGATGAAATTTAATTTAGTTCACACAGCATTGAATGCAATCCATAGTTACCAATCCCTGTGCATTACTGCCAGAAAGATGATTCCCAGGATAAAAATGAGCAACGTATTCAAATGCGTCCCTTTCCGACCCCAGCTATTCTGAACATGCTGTCTAGTGGAAAATAAATATACAAAAAAGAACTACCCAGGGATCTGTGGCTTGCCGAATGGAGCCCCTCTGTGTTCTGAATTTATTTTAGCTTTATCTGAACAGTGATAGGAGCTACAGAGATACAATACAAAAGCTCTTAAGCTTTAAAACTCACAATAAATTTGGCAGGCTGTAATCAAATTAAAATGTATATTTTGAAATTAAATTAAATCTATATCTCATTCTATTTCATGCCAGAGGGCACATCTTAAAAAGCAAGGGGGAGGGCAGGTGATAGAAAAAGCAGGAGCAGTGCTAACACCTGACACCGTATAAAACAGCAGTGGGGACTGTCACAAATGGGAGCCAGTGAATCAGGATTTATGGCCATCTCAACATAAAGAACGGGACAAGGAGAGTGAATAGATGATATTTTCTATCACATTTATCATGTTTAAAGACCCCAGTGTTTTTCATTATCCAACCTAAGGAACTTTATTTCAGCACATCCACTGCTGGAGTAAAGAAGTAGGAAGCAGATAACCAGCAAAAACCAA